ATCTGGCCCCGGGCATCTCCACGACATCAGCCGAGGGCTAGTCAGCATAAAAAGGTTGAGAAGCTTCTGGAGCAGGCAGAAGGAGAGGTACTTCAGCAACAGAGGGACCTTGAGCAACATGAGGATCAGGGGCATGGTCCGGCGGGGCCTCTTCGGACAAGTCCACTATCACTGCCTCGGGCGGATTCGCCGAGACTTGCACCGGCGTTGGGACCTCATCCTCGGCAGCAATCTCTGCTTCGGCCCGTTCCATCTCTGCCGAGGGCACGTACTTGTGCATCTGGAAGAGCGGGGAGTCTGACGGGATTCCAGCAGACTGGAGCGCCTCGTCCCACCCTTTCTTGAAGAACTCCTTGCTGTTTTCCTCAAGAGCAGGGAGCATGTCATCGACGAACTCTTCCTGGAGTTACTCCTCTGACTTTCTGTTCAGTGCCTCGGCTCTGATCCTGTCCAGCTCCTGGGTGAGAGCCAGACAGCTTTCCTCTGAGCCAACCGCCCTCTCCTCCGCGGCAGAAAGCTGCCGCGTCTGCTCGGTGATCCTCCCCACAGCATCGGCAAGGGCAACACTTAGCTTTTCAGCACCAACCTTAGCCGACTCGGCATCTTTGAGGAGTTGTTCAATTTGAGCAGCCTGCCCCGCCAGGGTAGAATCTCTGGCAGCTACGTCCTCCATTGCTCGGGCGAGGGCCCCCTCCGCCTCTTCCTTCTGCTCTCGGGCCCGCTGGAGGTCCATCCTAGACCCATGGTACCGCGCAGCTATTATGGAGATCTGTTGGGTAGCCTGCAAAGGAGGAAAAAAGGTGTATCACACAAATGGAAAGCGAGAGAGAAGAAACCAAAGCAAAAATGAACTTACCACCAGGAAATTCTGGATGATAGAGCGGAACAACACGTTCGTTGATCGCCCCCTGTGAGCCGTCATGTCAGCCTCGAAATGCAGTGTCTCACTCACTGCATTGGCGACATGAGGGTCCAGCAAAATGGAGTCATCAACCCTGATCACTCGGTTCATGTGATCGGTGGCTCGGGGGTTCCACTCCGCGGCTTCCAATGTCGGCGGAGGGGAAGGGAGAGTCTGCTGCTGCTGTTGGTGCAGTTGTCGCTGCTGTTGCTGTTGCTGCTGTTGCGGAGGAACAGGGGGTAACCCACAGCCTCTCCCGCTTTGCTGCTAAGCGGGAGATGCCCTGGATCCTCTGCCGAGGCCATCGTGCCTATGCTTGACCCTTCTCTCCTCCTCTACCTGAGGATCCCGGTCACGCACTTGACCCCGACTGAGAACCCTTGAGGATGGGGTGGAACTGGTCCCTTCAGATAGGGCGCCGCCGGTCGATCCTCGACCCCTCCCGGCAGCAAGGGCTTGCCTCTGCCTCAGGAACCCCAGGTCAATGCGAGGCGTGCTGGACATCGCGACCTCGAGGGCGTCCTCGGAGTCTAGAGATTGTAGAACTTGGAAGTCCGGCCACAAATCTCCTCCCGAAGTCCCCACCTCGGCGTCCGAAGGAACAACGTCCTCTCTGACCCCGAGCTCTTCAACTACTCCCTCTACCTCTGCCTCCGAAGCCCGATCAGGGTCTTCCTCCAAGTTTTCCTCGACCTCTTGCCTCGCCGCCTGATCGAAGAGTTCAGACCACCGCGAAGGCTCAAAAGGCTGAGGAAGCTGTGAAAATTTCTTATACCCGGGGGTGTAATTCAACAGGATGTGGGTAGCCCGGCCGAACCCGTTGTCACCAGTAAATCTCCAAACCGTGACTAGGTCGGCAAAGTTCACCAGCGACCGAGGGGGAGGAGCTGTTTCCCGAGCAGGGATATCTGCACAAACAAAAAAGTAGTCATGAGCATCGGAAGTCTGGAGAACAAAATAATAAACCCGAAGGAACCGACGTACTTGTCGTTCTCCATTCCAGAGGGCATAACAAGCCGTTATACTCGGGACCAACACCTCTCTGCCAAGATCCCTTGAAAATAAGAATATCGTCCTTGTACCCCTTGTCCGAGTCGGGAAGATGAGTTACAAGGTACATGGAGGGGTCCCTGGCTTTGAGGTAGAAGTGTTGGTGAGGCATGACTCTCAAGAGGGAATAACAAAAAAGGAGATCGTTCAGCCCAATATTTACCCCGAGGCGCCTATTGAGCTCTAAGACCCCCATAATTATTCTGAAGACATTAAGGCAACACTGCCCGGGGAAGAGGCGGAAGTGAGAGAGGAACTGGAGAAGTAAAGGGGGTAAAGGAAACCTAATTCCTCCCTCTATTATGGCCTTGGTATAAAAGGGCATAGCATCCTCGGCCCCGAGGGTAGGAAGGTGCACCACCGAGTCATAATCCTCTATGTCTACGCACGGGGGAATGCCGTACTTGACCTTAAACCTATTAATCTGCTCACCACCCTTTACTTTATACTTCCCCGACCCCGAAGAACCAGCCTGAGGATTCTCGGGAGCAGGGCGACGACGAGGCATCTCTAAGAAAGTGAGAAAGTGGAGGGTGTTTTTTCTTAAAAATCCCTGAGGAAGCTTCCCGAGGATTAGTCGCTAAGTATCAACCGGAGACACCTCCAGTCATCGGAAAACAAAAAGGGATAGGAGGAAGAAAAGAAGAAAGAAACTAGGACTCACCCGAATGCCAAACGGAGTTTTTTCTGGAAAACTTTAGGCGACTCCTTCCAGAAAGTTCAGAAGCAACGATGGGTCTGCTGGCCTTAAGACTTTAAGGAAGAATGGGCAGTCGACGATGGAAGAGGAAAGAGATCTCCGGCGAAGATTCAGGAAAAGGCTCTCTTGAGGAAGTTCGGAATGGCGAAACAAGAAAATGCAAGAGGAACCCCATTTATATAGTGGCTGTTTCATCATTGGGCGCGAAAAACGAAACGACGCATTTAATGCACACGACATCCTAAGCCGGGGAAAGCGGCTCGAGGCAATGATGAAGCATTTGTGGTTGTTGGGAAACCCTTCGTCTCCTTACGACGCGTGCCCTCGGTGTCAGAAGATCGAAGGCTGGGGGGCAGTTGATGGGACTTTTCTGAAATACTCCATGATGAAGACACGTGTCCTCGGTATTTACCAAAACACTGTTGCTAAGATCAAGCACCATCGGCGCATAAAGGTCCTCGCCCCCGAGGTACTCGTCATATAGGATCATGGCATTCAGTACGATTTACAACCAACACGTAGCCTCGGTCTGATATGGTACCTCGGTCGGTATACCTCCCTCGGTTCCGAGATGAGCCTTTCCTCGGTGCCGAGAGGTACCCCGTCCTGGACGCTTCCTCTACTCCAGGATAAGCTATTGACGTACAGGTCATTAGCCTAGGCTAGTCTAGGCTATTCATCATGACCTCGTCTTACACAATTAGTGTCAGAACGTACTGGAATGCAGGGGCCACAGCCAATGGGGGATGGACGCGTGGCGTATGATATCACATCGAAGACAGAGAAACCGCATGCCGTTGCTGACACGCGACTTGGGAAAGCAAACGATTAATTACACCATTCCCTTGATGAGACCGCATTCAATGCGGTAAGGCTCGGAAATGAAAGGCAATAAATGCTCCTAATACAGAGCATTTATTGCATCCTCCCCGAGAGGAGTACATTGTACCGTCGGCATCCCGATGACCCAGCATTGATTGCTCGGGACCCCGAGCAGTTAAGAAGAGAAGACATTCCTCATCAGAATCAGTGCACACACTGCCTGTACCTAATGATCACCTACTGACTACACTGACAGCAATCATGAGTTTTTGAGGTATAAATACTTCTTGCAAAAGGCAAGAACGGGTATGCAACAAAAAACTCTTTACTACAATACACACTCAGTGTTTTCTCCTTCCTCTCTCTTTCTCAAAGACTGACTAGATCGTCGGAGGGGATACGCCGGAAAACACTCCGGCGCCCTTCTAACTTGTTCTTTTTTGTTCCAGGAACCTCTTTCAGCCTTACTGGATCGTTCTTCCGCTCTCCCAGGGTCTCCCGTTGCCGTTCCAGGTCACCACCGGACCTCGCAGGCTGTTCCAAGTAGCGTGGTTGGTCACTCAACTGGCTCACTCGAGTTCACCAAGGGAGAGATCTGTTCTCGTTTTTTATATTGTGTAGGATCTTGCATGCACAATATTCTTTTAGATATTTATTAGCAGACATCCCTGTAATCCAACAAATTTATAATCCATCTTGCTTCGATTTGTTCCGAAATTTATAACCTGTCAATAAATTAAATTCAAATAACATTGTCGCGGCTGCTCAATACTTGGGATGATTCTCTTTTGTTTTTACCCATCAAAGTACGTATTCTTGCCATTATCTTCGTTTTTCATTGTGAGTGTTTTTTTTTTTGAACAGTTGGGCACCAAATCAGTGGGTTTGTTTTGTGTTTTTCACCAGTTTTTAGTTTAAATCAATAACAACATATAAAATTAAATTCATATTTAACTAATCTTCTTGTTGGAATAATAAAGACTTGTTGAGTTTAGCTGATAACGATAGCATTTCAGGCCAAGTGAATTACATTCGGAGTTATAAAAGGTCTGTTTGTTTATCTTGTTAAAAAGGGAAAGTCTATGAAAAATAGTCCGATAACCTACTTAATTTTATGTTTAGTTAGAACTTTTATAAACATGATTCGTATACCGGCCCATAATCAATAGTACATTAAAAACAAAGTATAAGAGTATGATGAAACCCATGATAATTTAACGAGTGCTCAATTTGAGCTTGAACCACCACAAAAACCCGAGTTGCTTGGTTTTGTTGCCTGAAACATAAGAGTTTATGCGATTAATTTTTAACCACACTGGAGTGAAATGCTATAATGCCAAACCCCATAGTTAAAACCATTACACTATGTGACACTGTTGGCATGGTGTAACGATTACACCCAATGTTTTTTTCATAGCTTAAGTATACTTTTCCCAAACAATAACCACAAAGACTACAATTCCACTTAAAAAATGGCTTGTTTCGTAGCTTTGCCTTACAAAAAGTTTGGGCAGCAAGCGCAAGATTTAATGCGTTTGCTTGTAAAGACACTGCTAGCTACCACCATAGATATAATAGAGGGAGAAAGCATACAAGCACTCATCTTTGTGGCCTTTCTTAGCTCCAGGAGAAACTGCATATGTATACAGGAATCAATGGTTTGTAGGGGAAAACCGAGTGATACCTAGAATAATGGAAACCCAGAAGGCGGCAGCCCGATATACCTGTGCAGGCTGTAAATGACATGCATTAAGAAGATGAGTGAAATATCTTAGTTTGGTTAGCACCACATAACAACATTCCTCTCAGAGTCGCTGTTAATACGAATACGAGAAACTGTAGCCATTTCTGTACATTCAATGTTCATCGACTGTTATGGTGCTAAGGGCAGTCCAGTTGCACAAGGCCTGAAGTCGGATATTCCAATTAACACATAGTACAACTAAGAATTGAAGCAACATTATAGTACAACTCCTTTTGATATGTATCACCTGAATGGATTAAAACCCCATAAGCCTACTATAGCTGCTAGTACTGGAAGCTTAACCACAATGCAGAACATAAGATATTCAAACTGATCCCAGCAGCTTCTATGGTTTAAGCGGCAAATTAACATAAGTGGAGAATTTCATTCTGGAAAATGTGATACCTTTGTTGCTTGAATCTTGCCTTTACAAAGTAGACCTGAGGAACCATGCAAAGAAACAAAAAACAAAGATATTATCATGAAGCTCCACTTTACAGCACTTTTCAATTCCCAGGAAAAAGCGCACACTAATTTGTTGGGCTAGTTATTGAATCTTCTAAAAGAAAATTAACTCTAATTTTCAGAAGTCAAGCAACGATTTGATATGAACGCAGACCATGGAAAGAAAAATAGAGAAACTTCAGCAATTCTGATTTCCGTGGATTTATCAAGCATCAAAAAACGAATTGAAAAACAAACAAAGCTTAAGCACTGCAATTTTCGTACGCATATACTTCCATGTCTTACAAATTACAATCACTTACAAGAACAACACCATTCTAGGTAAGCAGGACGAGTATGATTATCAGAACCAACCACTAAGGATATTCATGCATATGAGCATCAGTTGCCGATAGATGCTTTCCATCCATGTTTTTTTCTTCCAGATATGGGAGTTTTGCTTTTAAATAAAGTCACATTAGGATTTAAACCAAGCCAACTGTAGCTTGCTGGAACTGTGCTATTGAGCTTCACAACCGATACATGTGGCTCATCCGGGTTTGACCAAGCCAACGCCAAAAAATGCACTACTCAACTTGCTTGATTCCATTGCAATCCTAGGTAGACCTACTGTAATAGCACTCTAGGGCTCGAGGATTATCCTCTATAATTAAAATCAAACTTATATTACTTGACAACTTTCATATTCGTACCCTAAATCGTTAGCATGGGATCGAAACTGCAAGGGAGATAGAATGGGTGGAAAGAAATCCTTAAAGAAGGCAGTTACGCTTTTCCTTCCCCTATCTCTTTCCACTCACTCTTCTTCTAACCATAAGGACCAAACAAAACACTTTTTTTTTTTTTTTTTTTGCAACCCAAATTTCCTAGTATATTACTGGATTAGTGTTAGACCCTCTGCAAAACGACCTCTCTATACTACAGGATAAATCTAAGGGCGGTGACCCAAGAGGTACAAACACCCACAGGATATTCGTGCTAAAAACATCGAATTACTAGGACCACTTAAAGTTGGTTTATATAGTGAAAGGGCAACTCCTCCTACCATCAATTGGTTTGGATTGAATGCTCTAACATGGTATTTGACCTAATTTTTTGGTTGTTTGTGGGTCAAGTCTCTTACCTATTTGAAATTCCTGCTATACATGTTTGTTTGTTAGTTTGTTAACTTCACATTCAAGCCCAAGATACACGTGAGGAAGGGGGTAAATAGAGTTTTTATCTCACATCGAATTACTAGGACCACTCAAGGTTGATTTATGCAGTTTCGGGGTGGATGCTTTGACATTCGAACCCCTGACCTACACCTTGTTGAGGTGCTTATCAAGTGACTGAGCTAACACTAACCATTGATGGCCCTCCAAGCAATATGCACTCTTCATTAAGACTTCTTCACGTGAAGTTTTCGCTAAATTTTCATAGACTTGCTATATAGTGTAAAGACAATTACAAGTATGTAGTATGTACGTCCAAAAGTATAATGTCCCAACTCCAGCCAAAATAAACAAAAGAAGGTGACTACTTTCACAGCCCAAAGGGTTATGTCCACGACTCCCTTACTCAGAGACATGAGATGTATGTGTGCAAGTAATGTAAATCATACCATTTTATTATCTTTCTGGGTCTAGATAAATGATTTCTGCCCGAACCGAAGCTCGCCTGAGTCGGAGCAATTCTTTTAGTAACTCCAATGCTCCATCGAGTGCGGCAGGCTTAATTGTCATACGCTCAAGCACAGGTGAATTTGCAAGCAGAAAGTTGATAAAATCCAGTTCCTGTCTACCACCAGAGATTCCAGCTATTTTAACAAGCTGCAGCTGGTTGAATGGACAACTGAGATAATCTTCTTCCAAAATGTTAGCAACTGCTCGCACAGAAGTCTGTTCCTCAGGCCGAGCCTATCAAAGAGTGCATTATATAAAAGTCTAGAAAGTTTTCAAATGTAGCTCCTAAAAAACAAGAATCTTAGGGACAAAAAGCCTTTGACTAAGCAAAAGTAGAAGACATGGAAAATCATTTTAGCATGCAAGCACAAAGGAATCACTGTGTCAATTCACATGATGCTCATATTAAGTACTATATGTAACAGGCAAAAAACTCACCAGCATCTCAAGCTCTTGTATGTTAGGACAACTTCTAAGAAGACACAGGGCTGCCAAATTCTCCTCCACATCATTGAAATTTATGCGTATAGAAAGGTAGTTCAGCTCAATACATGGTGTAGGCAGCCTTCCTGGCACCTTACCAGCAGCCAAATACTGTATACAAACGTAATGCACAAAACAATGGTATCAACAGCTGAGATGATTATGGTATGTTTGGAATTTTAGATATTCCCCTTGGAAACAGTCCACTGAGTTTACAACTTTACATAAGTAAGGTAAAATGGAGGAATCTTTTTCTTTTGTCAGGACCACAATAGGTCCAGTAGTGAAATTTCAAAGTGCGGCATTTTCGACATAAAAGCTGAGATAAGAGTTATAAAACTATAAAAACAGTATTCTCTCCTCCATAAAACACAATGGACTTGTCAACCAGCAGGAAACATCCAAATCCCAAGTGATAATAACTCCAGAATTATTACCTTCAGAAAAAAACATTGCACCTCAAGCCTTTGAATGCGAGGCAGATGAGCGAAAAACTTGATCATGTTGCCAGTGTTGCCAAGGATCACATTTTGGTCATATCCAGCATTTGCATACAGACCAATGGATACAATAGCTAGATGGAAGGTATTCTCAAGACTGACATTTTCAAACACACCTCCAACATCAAAAAATAGGAGATTTGGAGCACAAATGTTAAGATGGATGAAACCATCAAAGTTCATCAATGTCAGTCTCTCAAGCAGAGGGCAGCTAGATATCATATGTTCAAATACATCTTGGTCCATCGTAATGTGCTGAAGATCAAGGCTATTCAAGATCTTAAAGCCATCGAATTTTGGAGGGGGTTTTAAAAGACAATTAAACAGCTCTAAATGAATTAACTTTTGGCAAATGAATAAAGAAGAAGGTAACTTGTAACGAAGTCCCTTCCATATTTCAAGTACAAATTCTTTGACAGAGCCTCTTGATAGAAAAAGAATCCATCGATCAATGTCACTGGCCCCTTGAAGTTCTCTGTGAGAAAGCTTGAACTTGTGAATTGGGCCCACATGAAGTAAGAGGACATGATCAATAATGTTCACAATCCTATTTTTTATAAGTGTTTGATCTTGAGAAGAGAGCACAACAGACTGATTGTCAAAAACAAGATGCGGAAGGGTGACCCATTTGTACCTCCACCTGCTTGACAATACACTTGTCCTCACTGCATCCCTAAGTGACAAATGTGACAAAATTCTGTCCATAATATGCCCGGGTAACTTGCTGATTTTGTCTGTCTCCATTTCCGCATTAAAAGGGAACATGGGTGGTTCTTTACGCTTCTACGATATTAAAAAAGAAAGAATAAGATAATTCACAGGACCAAGGAAAATCATGTTTCTTAGTATGCAGATCATGCAAGCGCGAGCACAAGCACACAGAAATCAATATATACACACACACTAACGGCAATCCCGTGCGATGCATGGAATTTGCATCTCATCCCCTTTTTCTTCCTCTACCACCCTCCCTTCATTTCCTTTCTCTTTTCTATTCTCCCACCATTTAAGAACTTTTTTTTTTTGATTGTACCACCATTTAAGAACTTAGGGAGTTATATACAGAATTACGAAAAGTTAGGGTAATAAAAAGTGATTTTTTTTACCAAAGAAAAAGTCTGAATGAGTAGCTATTAAATCATGGAGAAGTAGTTTCACCACATGTGCAATGTGACTGGAGTTAATGTATTGAAATAAATCGAAATTCTAAGAATAGAGAAAATGAAAAAGGAAGGCTTCTCAAGCTCTCCGTCATATATATATATATATATATATATATATTTGAGAGAGAGATGATGATGTTGTTCACCGGCTTACATATTTTTATCCGCATTCAAGTTTTCAATAAGAAAGAATCCTACTTGATTGATATGCTCTTTGTTGAGCAACAGAAACAAAAATATGTAAGAAAGTAGGAAGTTGGGTGAAGTAACTGAGTAGCGAAACGAGGTTGCCAAGGTGGTTTGCAATAGGGATTATTGCAGATGGTGTGAAACCAAAAATGGAATATATTTAGAAACTTTTCAAACTGCTCAAATAAGGGCTCCTATATCATTGAACTTCAAGATCAAGTAACAAGCATTCCTTTTAAAAAAGAAGAAAAATTTAAAGTATCAACCAGAAAAACCACATATGCAAAGTGTTCAATCATCTATGCTGAAGGAGGGTCTGACAAGACAACCAAGTGCCCATTAAGTGATCAGAGGTCAAAATGGTTGGCAGCACACTTCTGCAATGGAAGAGATATGCATAATGAGCTGTGACAAATATTGCTATTGATAAGCTTCTCTTAGTGACTTTTCTGCAATTTGAAACAAAGCTATCAAATAATAAGCAGCTATACTCTAATGGTGATAGATTTTTTCTCCACAAATAGTAAAAAAAACTAGTATGAGTTTATTGTTAAGAGCAAAAATTAATCATACAGTAAAATGAACATGTTTCACACTTCCAATGGCAAAGAGGCTCAAACTCACCATACTAAAACCGTCGAGCAATGATGATCAGGGCAAAGCACTTCACAGTCCCAACAAGATGGTGAAATCATTAACAGCTTATTTCAATGGCATTCTACTGGCCAAAATATGATTTACCGAAAATGATGAGCTCTTTCAACAAGGGCAAGTTGTATCCACGGGATGCTTGACCACCACAGAGAAAAAAAAAATTAAAAAATGGGGGATTACTGCAGGAAAAAGGGTCATTAACCAAATTAAATAATTCAGGAAACTTTACATAAATGACAATCTCCATTGATGCATTCTTCTAATGTGTAATCAAATGGGTACATGAAGAAAATCTCAAAGCAGGCTTAAGTAGACAAAGCAAAAACTTGTACATTAATCTACTCTTCAAGCCAGAGACAGAGATGATCCTGGATTCCCTGCCTCTGAATAGTAACCAGTAGAAAAAGTACACTTAGAATTGCTTACAATGTCAATGTATAATAGTTCAACAACAATGTTCTACTTAGATGGTCGCTGAACATAGCAGGTTTCAGAACATTAAAAGCTAACTGTTCAACAAAATCACAATTTCCCAACAGCAATCAATATCCGCAATATTTACAGCATTTTCACCACGAAAAGGGTTCAATCACTGGGTCTCATTACAAAAATTCATCAAAAAATTTGTGAAACCCGAGCCAGTGCAATCCACTGTAAGTAATTTACAACTCCTAATAATTCCAATAGCAAATATGACAAACATTGCAAAAGAAAGATTACTTATCAACACGAGCTGGTCAATCTTTGGTCTGGATGAGAGAGAAAGGTCGATTGATGAAAACAAAAAAAGAGAAAATATGCGAGAAATTAAAAAAACAAAAAACAAAAAACAAAATTGAAAACAAACACGTACAGAGAAGACAATGAACCACAGAAAACAATTCATTTCTTCTTCTTCTTAATCGATTGCTGCGATGATTTTGGCGAGGAAATTAACAGAACAACGATGGCTCACTGCCACCCGAAGAACTTGGGAACGCTCGGCACAAGAGAGAAAGAAAGAGTGACCCTAGAAATTGGTACTGGAGTTGTGTGTTGTGCACTCAGCAGGACTGTCAACTGTGCTTCAATCAAACAAATAATGGTATTATCAATTTTTTTTAATTGATTTTATTTATACTTAATTTATTTATTAATTATACCGAATCAAATTCACTCGTTTATAAAATATATGATTCAAAAAAAATTCAAATCTTTTAATTTTGTATCTTATTCGTGTCGTATTAACGAATTATGTCATATTTTAATACACATAATAACAAATACGAAACTAGGCTCCAAAAGTTTGTACTTTTGGGGTGAAAAATCAAAATAAATGATTGTATATATAAATTATATTGAATGCATGTCTATATTTATGCTAATAAAAAAATATTTAAATTTAAAATTCTATCTATTTATTTTTAATTTCATGTCATATTAATTTTGTGTGTGAATAAAATTTACACTCCTTAACCCTATTAAAAAAAGTAACCTTATTGTGTATTAATTTTGAACAAAAAAAATAATCAATGCTAACAGATCTAATTAAATCATGGAAATCATTAAAAAAAAATGAACTTTATTGTGCATTATAAAGTTTAGTCTAAGATTTTGTTTCCAATGACGTGGACACATCTACTACCAGCAAATAAGTGGGACCCAACAAATATTTAAGTGTTGTGGATTAATTGCATTATTTGGGACACAAAACTAACACAATCTCTCCATGTTCCTGTATTTTTCTCGGGACAAACTATATGTTTTTGGATTCTTCTCCAATCTCTTGCTTTTGAGATCGTATGAAATCTTTCTCGCTTTTCCATGATACAATAAATTGAACTCTTATTGTCTTCTAGAATTAATGGTCATATTCGATATAGTTTAACAATAGCTATCCAATATTCATGGGATCTTTTCTCCGAATTCATACGTGTTTCTGCGAATTTTACTTTAACAAATTTGTCTCTAAATATTTGTACCCATATTTTTTTATTTTTTATCAAGACGTGCATTTCGTATCATTGTTCATCATTCGTCGTTCGTCGTTCGTCGTTCGTCTCATTAATCAAATAGAAACCAGACAAATTGTCATATTTTATTAATATTGATACTTAACAAAAAAATGTTGAGTTTTATTTTTCATAAATAAAATTGAGTATGCAACTTTAACTAAAATTTATTGATTTACATAATATGTCAAGTATCAAATAAAATTATACATGTAGCAACCATCCTATATATTTATTTTTATTTCTGAATAAATTTTAAGTTTTTAGAAAAAGTATAAATAAACATATAATAGACAGAACAAAAAGTTTAGATCAATTACAATAAATTAATAAATATAAAAACTATGAAGTACAAACACTTCGGGTAAAGTTAATGTACCCGCATCGGATATGCATTATATATATTCGATAATTATCGAAATATATGAATACTTCAACTCGAACTATCAAATCCAACACGACACGATTAACCGACATGAATCGACACATATTAAGCGTGTTTGAATGAAATTTTAATGAGTTCGAGTGATAAACGGATTGACTCATTTAACACGTTTAATAAATAAGTTGTGTTTGGGTGAGACTTTTCAACTCATTTATAATTCATTTATCCGTTTAAATAAAATTAATATAATAATAAATTAATAATTATTTTTAAAAAAAATTAGCCATAATTTTTGTTTAGAGTGACTACTACACAGAAAATATATAAATGTATATTTCCCTATTTTCGAAGTTCAAACTCTAATTCTTTTCTTTCTAAGCCGAAGCCTTCAGCGGCGCCTCCAACTCTTCTGCTTCTCTCTCTCTCTCTCTCTTGCTCGACAGCAACTCAGGCTGACCACGGAGACTTCGAGCAACTCAGGTAAAGGGTTTTTTTTTCTTTTTTGAATTACATTGCTGGATCTAAAATCCCGATGAACTATAGAAGCTGAACCTTCTTGTGCAGATAGTCAAGGCACTTCGCTAATTTAATTTCTCTAAATGTAATCGATTTGGTCCCTATCCAGTTATGGATGTTCATTGCTTTGAACTAAGGGGTGTTGGGTTCTTTCCAATTTTTGAGAAAAAACGGGGTTCACATGTCTGTGCTTTATGTATTATATTTGTATAATTTTATGCAGACTTGTTTATGAGTTTATGTTGTACTGAATACCAGGTTCAATGGGTGTGGATTGGGATCCATGTTGGATCTATTGTTTTTGTTTTGATCTTATCACTACAATTGTTTCTTTGTGTAAGTATTCTTAAATATTTGTTGTTTTACTGATCTTGGTACGTGCGTTTCTCATTTTTCCTATTATTTATTATTATTTTAGGTTTTATGCTGGAGGGCATTTAGCACATTGCATAAAGCTTAAAAAGTTGGTTTATTGATGGGGGTTTTATGGTTGAGCTCAAGAAATCATGGGTAGCTTCGGTGACGATGACAAAGAATATAGGTTTTCTTATGCCTGCGAGAACATTGCACCAGTGTCTGATTCGGGTTCTGATTATGCGGAGTGCCTTGATTCTAGCTCTGGGATTGATAATGGGGTATCCAGTAGTTTTCAGTACGATGTATGGATTAGGAGTTGTAGAAGTCCTATTGCTTTAATGGTGTTTTACATGTATTGCTTTTAATGTTCAAGTATGCTTATAAGAGAAATAAGAGATAAACTTAAAATTGTGTTGGGTTCTTTCTTGCAAGAATTTGTTTGATATCTGATTTGTGGATTTTTATATCGATTGATGGATATGTTTCTTTCGCAACCCATTATGTTGATGTAGATTGGAGGTTGCAGAAAAAAATTCTGAACTTTTGTCTCATGCCCCCTCCCCACATTGGTATTGCTTTGTTTGATAAAATTTATACATTTTTGACTGATTGGAGAATTGAAAGGAAATTATTTTGTTTGACTTTGGATAATGTTTCTAGTAATGATTGTTTTGTTGAGTTGTTGAAGAGTCAACTTAACCTTAAAAATACTCTCTTGAGGGATGATGAATTCTTCCATGTTCGGTATTGTGTACATATTCGTAATTTGATAGTCCAAGATGAACTTAAAGAAATTGATGAATCAGTGATAAAAATTTAAGAAAGCATCAAATATGTTAAAGGTTCATCGGGGATGAAAAAGAAGTTCATAAATTGTGTTGCTCAAGCTTCATTAGAGAGTAAAAAATGTTTGCGAGGAGATGTTCCAACTAGGTGAAACTCAACTTATATTATGCTTGACAGTGCACTTTTTTATCGTCGTGCATTTATTCATTGTCCTTCCCAAGAAGAATGCAACCAAGTAGAGAAGATTTCTAATTTGTTGAGGGTGTTTCATAAAGTTACTTGCATATTCTCGGGTACTACATATCTCACAGCTAATTTGTATTTTCTCCAAATGTTCCTAATTCAACATACTTTGAATGGGACATTGACAGATAATGATAGTTTTATGAGGAAGATATGAAGTCATATGTATGCCAAGTTTAACAAGTATTGGTTAAAGTATAGTGTGATTCTTTCAATTGCTATCATCTTAGATCTTTGATACAAAATTCAGTTTGTAAATTGAACTTATTCAAGACTTTATGGTGGTGATCGAAAGAATGACTTGAATATTCTAACATTTTGGAAAGGAGAATAGTTTTAACATCATATACTGTCTCGGTTGGCTTTGTGATGTGATGATAATTCTTATTCTACAGTTGCATCTAAATCTGCATTTAGTATCGGTGGTAGAGTTTTGAATAAGTATCGAAGTTCACTTTTGCCAAAAACTGTCCAAGTTTTGATTTGTACTAGAAATTAAATTCATGAAACGAGCAGTAAGTTTGATTTCATCTTTACTAGTATTATTTTTTTTATTATCTTAATTCAAGTGATCATTGATTCATTTATGTTTTGTTATGTTTAGTTGTAGATGATTCGGAAGGGAAAATGGATGATATTGTTTTCAATCAAAATATGAAGTCTAATAAAGCTATATCCATTCAACATTTTAATTCTATATCTATCATTGATCATGACTAAAGAGAGGTATTGAAATATATAGTTTGTAATGTCAAGTTTTTGTTACTTATTTAGTTATGATTTTATTTAATTTTTAATGTTATGTAATATTTTATTTTAATTTATGTAGGACATGAGAATTTGGTTGTTGAATCTGCTCGTTGTCGTAGAGGTAGAGATTTAATCTCTTGCACAGGATTTTGTAAATCATAGAATTTGATTTTGTGTGTTATTCAGTGTAATTTGATTGTTTGAGATTGTGGTTTGTAATATGATTGTTCTTTGCTATAATTGTATTATTTCAGATTATATTTATGATTTATAATATGGTTGTTGGAGGAATTTAGTTATTTTGGATTGTAGTTTGTACTTTGTAATATGGTGTGGTATTTCTAAATATCACAATTTTTTGTGTGTTAGTTTGTTAGTTTTATAAAATTATATAGCATTTTTAAATAAATAGATAAATGGGTCAAACAAGTGGTTTATCGTGTTAACTTGACCCTACCTAACACGACTTGTTTAAAATTAAACGTGTTAAACGACTCGTGTCGTATTACTCGTTTATTAAATGGTTCGTGTTTGTGTTTAAATTTTTTATCCGTTTATTAAATGTGTCGTGTACGGATTTATTTATTTTTCACCCGTCACCCGTTTAATCCGACACGTAACCGTTTAACCGACACGTTTGACACCCCTAACTTTGAGGATATTTCTACATATAGAGCAAGATGCATAATTTTTAATTTTAATTTATATCATTTCCTTTCGAGTTTTCATATAATACAAAACATTAACAAAATTATATTTGAGATTAAAGGCATGAGTATTTTTTAAATATATATATAATAAAATAGGTAAGTGTTTGAAATTTTATCTCATATATTTTTCTCTCCAAAATCATCCCATCACCCATTTCTATTATATGTTTAATCATTTAATATTTGATTAATTTGTAGTTTAACATAAATTTTAATTTAAGACATTATCCATTCACGATAGTATACGCATGTTGAGAAAATTTGTCGGATTACATATTTTTGTCTATATTTAAAAAAAAATAATAGATAAAAATAAATTTTAAATGATGTAATCAAATAAATGAAGGAAATAAAAATTATAATTTAATATAGTAAGATCGATTTTTTGAACGATAAAATTTTATGTTTTATCATGCTTTCAAGCACGGGTTATAAATAATATCTTTTATTACATGTCAAAAAAATATAAAAAAATGAGTTAATTTTTGTTGCTCATTAAAAAATATAAAATAAAAATGAGTTAGTTACACTATAATTTTATAAATAAATACTTCTAAACAAACTAACTAGTTAAATGTCATTTTTAATTCTTTTAATTGATTAAGTTTATTTTGTAGATCATAATGAGACGATGTTTTATTTTTTAAGGTAAAAATTATTATTTTTGTTTATTATTGTTAAATAATTATTAAAAATTATAAATTTTTAAGTAATTATAAATTATTATAGACAAATCATAATCGTACATATATCTTATTTTTTTAAAATTTTACCGTATCTTCATATTTATATTATATTATATTCATGTCAAAAACTTATTCAAACGTTGAAGGAGTAAAAAATTCATTGGCCGAAACAGTGGACCCACATGTCATATAAGTCACCCTCCCTCTCAAACCGTCCAAACCTCTGAAATCCTCAAAACCCAACAGGGTTTGATGTTTCTTCGTCAAAGGCTTTGGGGTTTTTTTTTTATAACTATAAACCCAAAAAACCCACACGGCTTTCGTTTTCTTTTTGTCTGACTTTGAATTCGCGTACAAATTAAGTATCTTTCTTTATTCAAAACACGTCTTACATATACTTTTTGAGGGATTAATATCTCAGGATTCGGGGAATTTATTTTGATTACGAAGAGTTATCGTTTTGGTATATTCTTCTTTGGATTGAAAGCAATAAAGGGTGCGATTGAGGATATATTATTGATTCAACCATCGTCGACGACTTTGTTTCTGGGTTAATTTGCTTGTTTTCTGATCAGGGTATTTTTCTGATTACACCATTGCTGCAGATTATTGGCCTGTTTGACGTGAGTCACTCATCAAATCTATCATTTCTTTGTCTTTATTTAATCTGAAATTGTAGGCCAATTGTGATGAATATTACTGGCATATTGAGGATGTACAATTTATCTGTTTGATGTGAGTTAGTCATATAATACATCATATTATGGGCACATTGAGCTGGGTGAATCTCTCTTTTTATGGGTTTGTTGTTGTATTAAGTTGATTGGTGATAAGAATTTTGGTGCTTTGTCTCTGTGATATTAGTTTACTTAGTTGTTTATTATAGGTGTAGCACTATGATTGGCGGTTAAATTGGTGTCTTCTTCTTCTTCTATTTTTTTGTTGTGATTCGGTTAGATTTTAACGGTTGAGTTTGTTGTTCTGCACTATATTTGAATGCCAAGTTGGTGAATATGAGGTTTAAATGCTGCATTCCTTATACGGAGTTCACGGATATAGTTGTACAGAAATCAACTGGAAACTATATGATTTATCGTTCCCTTCATTTAACTTTTTAAGGACTTGGTTTCAGCCTATAGGCCCTATTCCATCTTTGCTACTAGAACTATTTTATTAGAACTGCAATAGGGATGTAATGGTTTCTCTTAGCCAATTAATTTTCCCGCAAGTTTGCATCATCTTCATCCTTTTCCATAGGTCATTTGCATGAAATAAGATCCTTAGCATTGTATGTCCGATAGCTAATTTAAACTTGATGGTTAGACTGTGATATTGATTTGTCGGAAAAAAAATTGGATTATTAAACGCAGTCGTAAAGGTAAGAATTGTTACTCCTTGTATGTTGTTGAAAAAAAGAAGTTCCCAACATATACTATAAAGGATGAGCATAGATATATCAGGATTTCATATTATTCATATCACGTGCTTTGTGTTCACTTTATCCAGTAATTTTGTGCAGATAAAAGCTTCCTTGAGCATGAACAAATAATTTGTACTAATGGGTTGGCTTAGCAAAATTTTTAAAGGCTCAAACCATAAAGTTTCTGAAGGTTATGACCGGAGAGGTGGAGCAAATACAGTTGGGAATTTTCCTTCTACGTCATGGGTAACTATGTTGCTACTTCTTGCTAACTCTTTCTTGCTTGTCGCTGATGAGCTCTTGCACAGTTTTGCTATATTGTTCTCTCACACTTTTGGTCAAGAGTGGGGTATAATATTATGTCTCCACTCTCATGTCAATGGAAAAAATGTATCGATATGCTTATTTATCTGGTGTTATATTACACTAAGTTTTGTTTTTTGTGCCCTTGGTTAAATTTTGGTTTATTTGATCATTACTAATCAGTATTCTACGTTGTTCATCCTTTACTAACCTTCATAATTTGGGATCCTGGCTGTAGGATCCATGGTCAGAGATTGAAGATATAGACCATGCTATTGCACTATCCCTTTCAGAAGAAGAACAAAAAGGGAAAAATGTGATTGGTGAGTTACAGAATATATAATCTCTTAACAAAAGCTCTTAGAACCGAGATCTACTTAGAGTACAATACTCAACATGGTTATTAGTTTGAAACTATCAGTGTCTATCACACACACAAGCTGTTCCGATAAGCTGTCGGATACAGATGAATAGAATGCCATTTATCACGGTTGTATACTTGTACTCATCTGTAGGCATGCACATTTATGTCCTCTAGAAATTTTTTTGGGAATAAAGTTGTTTGTTCGTTCACTGAGTGAAAGACATGGTTTTCTAATTATATTACCTTCTAAAAAATAACAACGTGCTTAGGATATTTGAACTTACTAGGTCGATATTTTCCATTAAAGCTTCTGAAACTTTGTCTTTCTGGACTTGCCTTATATTTTTGCAAATACTATTTAAAAGACCAGTAAAGCATTATCGGCGAAGTGAAGTGATTTGAGGTTTTTCATATCTGTTCTTTCGATATGTTTCTTACTTTGTGTGTGATAGTTATTCAGTTTTACTAAAATTAGTTTAACGAGTTTTTTAAATGATTGGGTAGATAATGAGTCTCAACTGAAAGAGGATGAACAACTTGCCAGAGCTCTACAAGAAAGCTTGAATGTTGGGTCTTCACCCCATTATGGAAATGGAAATGGAAATGCAAATAGAAATATTCTTCAACCTATACCCTTTCCCTATGCAACAGGATTCAGGTATATCAGGTCTTTATGTTAACCATAGCTTTAATTTTACTATTGGTGGGAATCTCTTTAGGCAGACCCTGGTTTGTGTGAGAATCTTATTTAATGACAAATTTTGGTCATTGAATTTCTTCATAGATTAATGCATGTGTACACTGGGCATTTAAAATATGGAATTCTGCATGTAAGAAGCCCAAATGCCTAGCATTGATTTTTCATTTCCTGGGATTTCCAAATATCGTGGTAGAATTTCTACTGGTTCTCATAATAGACAGTGCACTTATTTTTTAACTCAAGTTTAGCTTAGTTATTTGCCAACTAGATTAATATCGTACATATGGAATGTGCCAATGGCTTGTTTGATTGCTAGTCAATCAGTGGCATGTCAACCTGAGTGCACAATTCTCAGTCTAATGTACTTCTATTGTTGACATTTGTCGTGGAATGATATTGGTGACAAACCAGTTTTATGTAAATGTGCCATTCCCTTCAGCACCTGTAACAGTTTGGATGTTTTGTGGTTCTGTTGCATAACATTCATGGAAAATTTCTTGAAACCTCATGCATTGTTTGAAATGTTTTTTAAATTCAAACTTAGTTCTTTTTCTTCTTTAACGTGTAGTCTCCTCTCCCACCACCCACTTGCAGCCCTCTTCCTCTCACAGCGGCCCCCTTCTCCTGCCATAATCCCTCCCAACACACAACCAGGCATCTTCCGTTCTTTTTTTTCTCTTTCTCAAGTTTCTCAACAACCATACAGATTATTAAGCCAAAACACAATCTGTGTTCCCTTTATATTCGCTCAGAGAGAGAGAGAGAGGCAAATTCGAGCATAAATTTTTTTCACTCTTTTCTGTTGGTTTTACACTTGCGATTCAAATTCTGCTAAAACTTGAATTCATTGTTTCATACCTTAATCCTTACTCGATCACTCTCAAATAAATTTGAATACTATTGTAATTAGGTTGAATGAACAACAGGCATCAGGTACATGCAATATGCTGGTTAGTACAGATCTTTGGTTATTGCAACTTGGTGCCCCAATTTGTACAGTCATGACATTTGACACGAAAGTATGGATATGAGCGCCACCTGTGTCCACATTCTTGTGCTTGTAGGATTTGATTTTTCAGCTCTGTAGTCTTGGAAAAGGAGGCTGATTCTCATTAATAATTGTAGACACAAAAAAAACTGCCTATCCTGATTTTTTTTCAAGATACCATTTCCTTTTTGAGCAAAGCACCATTGACTGTAGGACTCTTTCATATAAAAGGAATCATGACCGTGCTATGCTTTATCTCATTTATTTTTTTTTCCACTTTTGTGGTAGGATATGTGCAGGTTGTAACTCTGGGATTGGTCATGGACGATTTTTGAGTTGCATGGGTGCAGTTTGGCATCCAGAATGTTTCCGATGCCATGCTTGCAACCAACCAATATCTGATTACGAGGTACAAAAGATACTCTCAGTAAGCTGGCAACCTATGCTGATTCCCATCTCGCACTTATCATTCCTTCCTCAATCTCACTAAGAGTACCTTTATGCCCATTTTTGTAAGATCATCTAATTAAAGCATTGACAAATCATGCTTTTAATTTCTGTCATCCTAAATCATTCACAGTTAATTCGTAGACAGTGATTGGTTAAAAATAACTAAAGCTCTGATTTTTGGCGATGGACACATGCTACGGGACCAACAAGTAAAATACTCTTTGTGAGATGGAGTAGTACTGATTTACTGCAAAGGATGCACCATTTTCCTACTGGTTAATTGTGCACATCTTTTTCTCTTGTAGTTCTCAACGTCTGGGAACTATCCTTATCACAAACATTGCTACAGGGAGCACTATCACCCGAAATGTGATGTTTGCAAGCACTTTGTAAGTATATCTTGGCTATGAAGATTATATTCTCCATCATGCACAAGGTTAAGTCAAAGGTTATATCTGTACCATTAATGGGGACTAAACTGGGTGCTATTATTATGTTCTATCCTGTACAAGTTGGTCCTGTTACACTTTTATTCTCAAATGGTCAACCTGACCACAAACTTACTAGGTGGCAACTTCTATCCTCATTGGAGTCTTATAATTTTGGAATCTGAGAACTATCCCTGCATTATAGTACTGAATAATGGGTGCTCATTTAGTTTTGCTTATGGAAATTAAATACCGAGTGTTCAGCTTTTTACCTCGTGTATTTGCAGAATACATACAGGTGCATTTGAATGTCATATGCTTATGCTTCATAGTACCTATGCTTCATGGAATGTCATGCAAAATAAGTTAATTCTGGGACTAGTGATATGGTTGTACTGTCTCAACCACAAATAATGCGTGAAAACAACAACAGAAGAAAATCATGCTTTTGGGGTTCATGTATATTGTGAATGTAATCTCAATGGATTCACCTTGAACTTCAGTATAATTGTCTGCCATATAGCTTTAGTTATTGCATCTATCTCCAAGTTCTTGGGGTTATGGCATAAATCACTTCTTGTTAGTTGCATTTAAGAACTTAGACTATGGCGATCACACTACTATTAAACAACTGTTTTTTCCCTTGCTCATTTAGTGAAGATGTGTCGTTAACTCTCGGGCTTTGAGATACACCCCCAGATAGATGTTGTATGGTGACACCTAGAAAGCATAATTTTCCCTCTTGTTGACTTCCTATGGACAGAAAAGCAGGCTGGCACCCAAGATGCCCTTGACAACCACTATCTGAGTACTACAGGGATACAGATCTCTCTTTGAACCAGGCACATTCTTCTATGTAGTATTATGTTGTTGTATTGGGGACTTATTTAAAATTTATGGGGTCATATTTAGCTCACATCAAATTTCTGGTTCTCTAAGATTTTTTATTTTTGTAGTTAATTAATACATGCTATTGTACATTTCTACTCCGGGTGTTTGTTTAGATAAATTGCTTATTTTCAATTGTTGTTGGTTTTTTGAAAACACGTGTAAATTGTGTCACAGATTCCAACAAATGCTGCTGGTCTTATCGAATATAGGGCACATCCCTTTTGGTCCCAGAAATACTGCCCTTTTCATGAGCATGATGGAACTCCTCGGTGCTGCAGCTGTGAGCGGATGGAGGTCAGTCTGAATAAATTACATTGCATCTCTTGACCAACCTCTTCATTCTGTCGGGGGATCTCTGGGTGATCCTGCTGTTTGTTAATATCGATTCATATGGGTCTTTTGCTCATCACATACAGCCACGGGACACAATATATGTAGCCCTTGATGATGGTCGGAAGCTTTGTCTTGAGTGTCTGGACTCTGCAATCATGGATACCAAAGGATGTCAACCCCTTTATCTAGATATACGTGAATTTTATGAAGGTTTGAACATGAAAGTGGAGCAGCAAGTTCCATTACTCTTGGTCGAGAGGCAAGCACTAAATGAAGCAATGGGTGGAGAGAGACATGTAAGTGGAAATATGCAGACTTCATAATAATTGAAGTTTCCTAATATTGTTTTAGTCATATGTGGGTGTCTTTCCTTCCAGGATAATAAAAAAAAAGGTTATTACTTATAGTTGGGTCTTTTTTTTTTACTGGCCAGGGCCATCATCACATGCCTGAAACTAGAGGCCTCTGCCTGTCGGAGGAACAGACTGTCAGCACAGTAAGGATTTCTCATGTGGTTTCTGTTCCTTTTCCTTCAGAAGTTTAGCATCCACAAACTTTTTATCAGTTTTAAACTTGTGTCTTGTTCACCCTTTAAATTACCAGATTTTTAGGCGACCAAGGATCGGGGCTGGAAATCGAGCCATGGGCATGAGAACTGAACCCTTTAAGCTGACTCGTCGGTGTGAAGTGACCGCGATTCTCATCTTATATGGCCTTCCAAGGTATTGGTTCACCTTTTTCTTGTGCTGTTTACTTCCAATAGGAGATTTTCTCTCTTTCCCTTTCATAAAATAGTAATGGGAGAGGAGATTTATACTGTGCAGGTCAGAAAATTAAAAAAATGAAATTGCACAAAACTTGATTCATTCAAATTGCATGCACCAAGCATAAACAAAACTGCAGTTTTTGTACCATTGTCACAACATAGAGCTTGGAGTTGCGGTATGACCTTAATAAGATTAATGTGTGAAAACAAATACAAAAAAACAATATAAAACTGTTATCTCTGTGCTTTTCAAAGATTTATAAAGAGAGAGAATTCCCTTGTTTATCAATTTTGCTAATCCAAGGGTGCCATCTAATATTTGAGATACATGGGTTTCCTATTTTCCTATTGTCTGTTATACGTTGTGGTAGAAGATGTTAGATTTCACCTCAATTCTCATGTTTGACTGAAGCACCCTCTGCACACAGGTTACTGACTGGATCAATCCTAGCTCATGAGATGATGCACGCATGGCTCCGACTCCGTGGTACTCAACCATTCTCTGCCATTTAGTATTGAAGGGCAATGCAGAAGCCAGCCCAAGTTATATCACCTTAATTAATTTTTACATCCTTTAAAATTGCTAGTTTTTCTTTCTCAAGACATAACCTTTAACGGGTGAACCTCCTATCTCTCGGTAAAAGTGACTTTTAACGAGAGAGAGAGGGGAAGTTTTAACGAATGTCTTTAAAAGTGAACTTCCTATCTCCTCTCTAGTATACTAATGGCTTTATTTTACATGAAAACTGGGTTCAGCGTGACATGTTTAAATATGGATTTTCCCTCTTGGCAATGACAACTTCTTGCCTGATACTTGTGAAGCCTCAAGAGACTGATTCATTTACCACATGTTTGCAAGGTTATGGAACTCTCAGCCAAGATGTTGAAGAAGGCATCTGCCAGGTGCTAGCTCACATGTGGTTAGAATCCCAGATAAAGTCCTTATCGGGCAGTAACTTTGCGACAACCTCGTCCTCCTCGTCCTCTTTCACATCATCTAAGCAGCAGGGGGGAAGATCTCCATTTGACAGGAAGCTTGGGGAGTTTTTCAGACACCAAATTCAATCGGATACCTCACCGGTGTATGGAAATGGATTCCGAGCTGGTAATCATGCGGTGCTTAAATACGGGCTTCCAAGGACCCTGGACCATATTCGGAGGACGGGTACCTTTCCTTATTGAAGTATTATGTCAAATTTTTTCGATGAATTCCACTTCTTTTTTATGGGTAATTTTTGGGTTTTTTTCACATTAGCATATTACGCAGACCTCTAGAAATTCTCTCAATAGAGTAGTTCTTAGAATAGCCTAGGTTTTTACACGGCAGGGATTTGAGCAGAGCGAATGTTGAAGGCTTTGTGTGGCGTTCTTATTTTTAATGAACAGTAATAGTCAATTGTAGAAGTAGAATGAGTGGCTGCTCTGCTTCAGCAGAGCGGTGGCTTGTGTAACGATATGGCTGGAGCTCTTTTAATACGTCGGAGGACTGCTAATTTTTTCATTTATTAATTAAATCATTGTTTATTTTTCTGTCACTACTCAGTCTTCCATTATCGTCTCTTTAATTAGCTTTAGTTATGCAAATTTCTATGGGTCAGCCATTGAAAAGATCTTGAGCTGATATAGAACCTTAGTTGGGGTGGGGCAGTTGTTTACCTACTGAAGAGACAAATAAAAGCAATCTATTTGAATCTTAGCATCAAAGTAATACTTTTAGTTTTAGATATGTGCATATATATATATATATATATACTACTACTACTACTACTACTACTACTACTACTACTAATACTACTACTATATGCAATTAAACTTAAAAAAATGGTGTACACACATACAAAAAAAGAAAGCAAAATAAATATTTCTTAGAAACACAAACAGAAAAGAAGAGAAATTCTTTTAAAGTAAGATTTATGATACCTACATTTTCATCTATTTATACTAATTTTCTCCAAGAAACCCACTAGCTGCTTAGAGGATTAATTCAATACTCCCATAGTTTATATGAATTTGATATAGTTGGGGACAATAAAAGAGGAAGATTAACCCCAGGGATAGCGCAGGTGATAGTTGGTCACTTAATAGGATGCTCTAAATTGATATTGCTTAAGGGTTTGATATTCAATAAGGTGAAAATGTTTCTCGGGTCACTTCCTTTAAATTTAATTCTTGCGCATGGAGAGGAGGTTTTGAGTGTGGGCTTAAGTTAATCACCAACCACGGGTCCAAATGGGTTGGGTTGGTTTTTTTTTTTTGGAAAATTTTGAGGCCGGTCCTCATATATGGACTTGTTTGGACTTAAGTATGTCAAGGAAATTTATTTGTTATGAAGTCTGATTTTTGTCAATTTTACTATACTATCCATTTTCTTTAGAAATAAAATAAAACTAAAAATTCAAAATTCCTGAATCTTAGGAGTTTGACTAACATTAAAATATTTTCTCTCTCTCATATCTATCTATATTCATATATAGGTTAGGTATATATCTATATAATAAAGTAATTTACAATTTAAATATCAAAAGATAAAAAAAATAACTTTTGCTTTTTGCGGCTGAGATTACTTTAAATTTTACTTTAAAGTTAATCTAATGGCTAATATTAACACCCTAAATTTAATAGGAAAAATAGGTCCTTAAAGGTGTGTTTGAAGTGACTTTTTAAAAATACTTTTAAAAATTATTTCTCATAAATATTTTTTAAAAAATAGTGTTTGAAATCGTCTCACCACTACCTCTGCTAGCACCATCGCCACCGCCACCATCACCACTGCTTTCGCCGCCGCTATCCCAATCAACGCCACCACTGTCACCGTTACCACCACAACTATTATCGCCGCCATCACCACAACCACCACCACTGCCGCCGCTACCACCACCACCACCACCGTCGTCATCACTGCCACCTCCACCTCCACCCCTGCCATCGCTGCCACCACAACTGTCGCTGTCACCACCACCGTCATCGCTGCCACCACCATCGTTATCGCAGTCGCTATCACCACTGTCGTCGCCACCACCGCTACCACAATAATTGTCACCCACTAAAATCATCACTGTCTCCTACCACCACCATTGTCGCTCACCACCTCTCACTCCCACTACAATCAATGTTTAAATTCATTTATCTCTATTTTATATTTGTGATTTGATTTTAAATATGAATATAAATATATTTATTATTTATCATTTTTTATTACTCTATGTTTTTAGACACATGTAATAATTAGTATATATGTAAAATAAAAAATAGTAACATTCAAATATAACAAAAAGTTATCATTTGGACACAAAAAATAATACATTTAAATCCAAAAAAATAGTAACATTTAAACATAACAAAATTGAAACATTCATTATTAATATTTTAAAAAATAACAACAGTAACATGTTCAACAAAAATATTAACATGTTTAACAAAAATAGTAACATGCTTAACAAAAACTGTAACATATTTAACAATAATTATTTCTCTCAAATTCAAACGCAAAAAATAGTACTATTCAAACTCAAAAAATAATAATATTCAAAAAAAAAAGGATAACATTGAATATTAATATTTAGAAAAATAATAATAGTAACATGTTTAACAAAAATAGTAACGTGTTCAAAATAATAGTAACATGAACAGTAACATATTCAACAAAAATAGTAACATGAACAGTAATATAATAAAAAAAAATAGTAACATGAAACATTCAATTTAACAAATTAACTCCCACGAAAAATACCACAAATTACAAAAAATAAAAAATTAACAAGAACTAGAGATTTTCATCCGTTATCCACAAAATCGACATAATTCATAGAAAGTTAAAAGATGAACATTGATGAAACAGCGCCACTAGCTAACCGGAGAGAGAGAGAGAGAGAGAGAGAGAGAGAACTTTGAATTTGAATTTTAAATTTATGATGATGACATATTTTAATAGGCATTTAATTAAGGGATAACTATATCCAAAATAGAAAATTAATTTAACCTCCTTTCAAGGAAGAGTATTTTTGAGATAAAAAAAAAATGGACTTAAGTTATTTTATATAATTTTAAATGTGGACTTAGCCTTTTATAAGTTTCCTTACAGAACTTATCTTCAAACAAATATATCTAAGAGGACTCACTTCCAATTTTCACTTTTTTTTAGGGGGGTTCCTGGGTTATCAAAAAAAAAAAAAAAAAGAAGTAGAAGATTATTATTCCGATTTTGGTCCATACCAAAATTTACAATTTTTTGAGGTAAAGTTATGTCTTTTTTTGAGGTATAAGTTACAATTAAAAAAGAGATGAAAATTACGACTTCTAAAAGTAAAATTACTATTTTTTGAGGTCAAATTACAATTTTGAAGTGTGAAGTTCCAACTGATCTGAAAATATTTATCATTATCATAACATTTATTCATTGATTACGAAAGAGCTGTAATTTCACCTTTAAAAAGATGTAACTTAACCTCAAAATATAGTAACTTTTGGTATGATAAAAAAAATAAAAAAATTACCAACAATAAAAAATCAGCATGTATACTGATTAAAGCATGTAATCTGTCGGTGGATTTAAGGTCATAGTTTTTCTAAACCAAACAAAAAACAGATCGTTGTCTCCCAGTTTTTCAATGTTGCATAATTTTTAAAAAATGAGTAGTAACCCCCACGAAAGTGAGATCAAAAGAATTGTCAATAAAACTTTTCTATGGACCTTAAAATTTATTTATTTATTTATTTTTTTAAAAGAAATTATTGTTACCACAACTTTAATATAACTATAATTTCCTCGATCCAATATGAAAGGAAACACAATTGGAAGAAAAAAAGGAACTCACATCGCTATCGTTTACTATAACAAAAAATTGGTCCCGACAATTGGTTAATGCATACAAGGCTATAATGGGTATATCCTATGTGAAAAGATAATTGCATAGCATGTGTATTTTTTATTTTTATTATTATTTTTAGTATCATAATAATAATAAATATCGGTAGAATACTGATTTTCATCATCTTTTAATAACGCGTGGAAGGAAACATAATTTGACCTTGAAAATTAATTAAAGTATTGTCCCTTTAAAAGAATCTCTGATGACATTCTTAATGATGTGTGATAATTGAATATTTTTGGGTTAATTACATTGAAAGTCCTCATAGTATGAGATGTATCTTATTTTGGTTTTTAATATTTTAATTGTATAATTTTGGTCTCTAAAATATTGAATATATTTTTATATGGTCCCTCAAGTTGACAAGTGTCCAAATTACTAACAATTTTTTATCATAAATTTATTACATGAAATTTAAATATGAACAAAAGAATAATTTTGATAACTCTTAACTAAATTTTTACTCAAATTTTAGTTAAATAACTACCAAAAATACACAATTTTAATCATAATCTATCTAAGTTTTCGTAAAAAATTACCCTTATCACACATTTTTTTTTTGTCATGAGTTACCTAAATTTTGTTTAAGAGTTATCAAAATTATTTTTTGTTCATATATAGATATTATGTGACAAGTTTATGATAAAAAATCGTTAACAATTTGAACGTTGTCTGTTTAAGAGATCATATAGAAACATATTTAATACTTTAAAAACTAAAATAATATAATTAAAATATTGAAAATTAAAATGAGACAAATTTCATACTTTGGGGACTTCTAGTATAATTAACCCAATACTTTTTAAGTGTACGAAACAAATTACTAGAGAGAGAGAGAGAGAGACTGCTCAACCAAACAAAAGATGAAGGAAATTTCTTACTTGGAAATTTCTTATTGCTTATGTATGAACACTGGAATTGAGAATTCTTAGTACAATTCATGAATTTCACATGAAATTAACATAAAATTATCAGGTACGTAATCAATCTTAATAGTTTATAGTATAATCGAAATTGGTTTCTTACACTCCATTGAAGGTGCAGATGAAGCGAATTGAGTCGAGCACCATACTATTAGGGATTGACCTGTTTTGTTCACATACTATTAGAGATTGACTTGTTTTGTTCACTAAGAGGGTTGGAGCTTACAAATGACTTGAAGTGGATTAATATGAACCTACTTATATATGATGTGAATTAGATGAACTTAACTATAAATAATTGATATATATCGAATAAATTTTGACACGATAAAATTTAGATACGAAAGAATTGACGTGACACGTTCCAAAGTCGGCACCAATCACCACACAAGACTACAATGAATAAACGAAGAGCAATTCATGAATTAGTAGGGTTCTAAGGGGTACCACAATTTTATAGACGGAAAGACTTAATAGAAACGAAATTCATAATTAAAGGGTTAAATTGAGACAATTAAAAATTTAGAGAGTAAATTAAAATAAAAAAAATTTCAGGGACCAATTATGATTTTTATCTAATGATTTAATACGAAAACAAAATTTATATTATTATTATTTTTGATTCCATATATCCTTGAATATTTTTCTTTTTTTTTCTTTTTGCTTCATTTGCTCTGTATAGTTCATGGTACCAAAAAAAAAAAAAAATCGGTACTGTATCGACATTTATTATTTTTGT